TTTACTTGGGGTGTTCTCCACTTTTTCTTATTCGCTTTTTTCCCTTGGATAGCTATTTAGCGACTATAGGTTTGTAATTTAGCGTCACTATCCACAATATACCACTGGGTGTCTTCATCACTGAAAGATAGCACTTTTGCTCCATCGCCAATTAGGAAAGTTATATTGCGCGTTAAAAAGGTAAAACTAAATAATTATTAGAGGACTAAATATGAGCTCTTCTCCCCGCCAGCAAGTAAGACCACGGACCTGGTTTCACCTGAAGATACTTACCCTGCCTGAAACGATGCTAAGTTACGGTTCTGAGAAAAGCACCCAGGTGATTTATGCTACATTCGGGAAAAAACCGCTTGTGGTGGGGGTCACTGCATGCTCACGCCATTCTTCTTATCGAATGTAAAAAAATGTCAAAAAACGAGGTTTTGGAAGGCAAAAAGGGAATTCACTTCGGTCAAAACATTTCCGAAAGAGAGATCTTGCAAGAAATCCAGGAGCACTTAAAGGCAAGACCCAACTAGGGTTAAATCGAACTGACCATGAGACAAATACGCAACCCACCTGCCAAGTTGGATTTCGGAGCGCATACTTTTCCAAATGAACGAAAATACTCGATGTGCATGTTGCTATGCTAATGATGAAGATCAAGCTCATGTAGTATATTCCTGCAAAGTAATTCATTAAGTAAAGCATGAGAAATGGTCGTTACACCTATTAGACGTAAGAACGACTAGACTGTTATGAGCTGCTGTCACAGCTGTAGTAACATCCTTACGTGAAGATTCCTTTCCGACTGCGATAGAGAGGAACAGTACTCGGCAGTGATAAGAGAAGATTTTTTCGTTGCGGTGAGATATGGATGGGGGAAGCTCATAGAGGAACCATCTCTCATTCCCACTTAGCAGTCTCCTTCTGACGAGGGCAGAGAAGGGAGACTAAGCAAGGGGTACCCGGGTGCACAGCGTGCCATCGGTCAAGGTATGAATGATCCATCAAGCCAGTACTTCTTGGTAGTCAAAGGCTTACAGGCGGTGGACGACTGTCAGTTAGGTACATCCGAGTCTTGTCGCAAGACTGCGGGTGGTAGGCTCTGGATCCCCCTTGTCTGCTTCGAGAATGGTGGAGTCTTATACTTCTTGGGGCCGTCCCAACCAAGGTTTGTCTTCGAGGATCGAGTCTCTTTTCGCGAAGCGAGCGAACTAAAAGTAAACGATCCTGACGGTAGTGGTGTCCTCCCTCAATGCACTGCTGATGTTAGGGACAGCTGCCGTGGCTCCAGTGCCGCGGGGCCACTGATAGAAGATGATGACCCGAAGATACTCCTGTGAAACTGACATCGTAATTAAACCCAGGGAAGAGCAGGCGCCCTCACACGCCTCTTGCAGGAAAGCTCCCAGAGTGTCCTACAAGCATAGCATGTTACGAGCATCGAGAATCAAAAACTGTAAGCTTTTCAAAAAACACTGACAGGACTTTCTTTCCAACCTATAAAAGCAAGACTTCAGACTTCATGCATCAACCTTGTTCTCTTGGGAGGTGAGATAAGTATTATACTCGGCTTTGAAGGTGCAGTCCATTCCCAGCGCTATCGCCCTCTCATTACATTGATCTATCCCTTTGGCGCAATTGGTGAAACGCTTCACAAGTAGATACCTAATGCTTGGGATTATCGGAAACGCTTGTAATGATTACTGGAACTGTCCTCGTGTTCTAAATTTGAGGGAGTTCCCGAAACAAAATCAATCTGTACTTCTTCAAAAGTGGACCGAAGTATTGAAAGCTCATGTCAAGTTCAAATAGCTTGTTCAAAACAATCAGGCGGCGAGGCGCTTAACTCAAGCTGACGGTACTTGTGCTGAGTAGTCGGCCTGCTTCTATGCTCTATGAGTTCAGAGAATTGAAAAAAAATAGCTAGACTGCTTCTGTCACCGGATCCAAAGGCCAAGCAGAGGGAAACTCAGATGTCTTCAGAAAGGCGGGACTTCCTCTTTGTTGCTAGAGATTTTTGTCTAGATTTGTCAAGATTATTCGAACTTGTCTGCAAAAATTCCCTTAATAACATAACAGCACCGAGCTTACACCGACCTGGAATCCGAGACTGAGGATTAGGGTTTTTTTACCTAGGTATTTACTGGTTTATCTGTTGGTTTATTTGTTTCGTCAAAAATTATACTCATAGTGTGGCCTTACTGCAGCTAGACACCATACTCTTTATCTACATAGCAGTGTTTCAGGAATGGAAAATATCATACCAAGTAAGGGCACATCACTGAATGACCCTCGCTGACCCGGCACGCTTTCCATAGCAAACTTCATTTCGCCCACCAACATCAGCAACATAACGGACATTGACAGCAGTGTCATTATTCCTGAAATATAGCAAACTTATTTTGATATGATTTTTCAGCTACGGAGTTCTGTCGGATCTAACCTAGCCTGAATTTGCTTTCTCGCCTCCCCGTTGCATTGATGGGAGCATGGAATCCAATGACGGCTACCAGTGAAACCTACAACACAAAGTGCTAAAAACACGAAAAGCTCTGTCATCGTTACAGTTGATACCGCCGCAATCAGTCGAGGCGGTCCCAGGAGGGATGGATTGAGCCCACCTGCGACGTTTCCCCCACTGGTTGTTTTCCTCTTAAATCGCATCACTATTGGTTGAGCAAGTCAGCTGGAGGCGGGCTCATACCGCCTCCTGTGACATCGCCCCGTCAGACTGCGACGTTATCAACTATAACTCACCAATGTAGTGGGAAAGACCAAATTGAAAACATAGTAGAAGCTCTGTCGTTTGAGACTCAGTCTCATTGATACCATAGCTACGCTCTCGTTGGAGTTCTCCTGCATTCGAGTGGTACCATTGCGTAGTCGCGCGTCCATCAGCAACCACTCCTGGAAGTTCGGCTCTAGTTACAAGTTCTGGATCAGTTAAA